GGTTGTACACTGGATAAACAAAAACTTGGCAATTTGTTTGCCAACAAGAAAAAACCCAGTTTACTTGTACAAGATATTTTTTTTCAATAAAATATATACACCAATGCATGTAGCATGCCTTAGGGAGTTATTCGTGTGATTTTCAAAAAAAAATGTGAAAAGTGCCAAAAAAACTATTCTGCTACCTTAATAGTGCCTAACTATGTATGTAATGGCACAGTACCCTATAACTCTGTGGGCAGTGGTACATCACCCAAATGTTTGGTATAACCATAACAACTACATATTTCTGTTGTTAGTCTGTGTTTATCATTATGATTTTGTTTGTTTTCATAGTTCAAATCACAGTCACCATTACATTGAATGGAACAGCTGAGCCAACAGAATTAACTCCAAGTGAAGGAGGACTTGGTGAGTGTCTTACTGATGAAATCTAATGATTCTGAATTTTACCCAGCAATCATATTTTGGGTTGGACTTATTTTTTACTTTTAGTTTAATTAAACTTTTCACCATCAGTTCCCTCTTTTTTTTCACAAATTTACAAAATAGTCCCATTCATTGTCTGCACTTTTCTTCAGAAGATTGGGACACAAATAGACAAATGTTTTGAGTAATATAGAATCATATTTTGTCTGTTTGCTCTAAAATTATGATTCATTTCCAGAAATATAGAAGAATATGAGAAAACAGTGCATACAAATTTGGGTGGGACGTCTGTTGGTGAAAAGGTTAATTGAGTATTTCTGTTACTTAGACAAAAAAAAGGTTTGCTTCCTGTCAGAGCGGAAAATTAAAAAGTGATGTGACAGGGTTTGTTTTTTTTGTTTTAACCAGATTCCATTTTACATTAAGTAGTATAGTATAAAATATTGCTGAAAGCTGAATAGATACAATATAAGTTTTCTATGTGAATAATTATGTGTATTGACTGAGTATGTTAATCATTGCAATTTCTGTTAGGAATAATTATGCAAATTATATGCAAATTAGTATTTATATTTTTCAATATCATAATGTAACTGCATTTATGGGAACATCATTTCCAAATACTCACTGTTATCCTCTTTCACAGTTTTTTGGTCACTGCTGTGAATTTTTGAGACTGTCACTAACTCACGAAACTTGTATACATTTGTCTCTTGCTAAAATAAAGAGATTTTCGGTATTACTGAATGTATCAAATAAAAATAGTTTTGTTGTTAACCATTTTCTCTTTTTTTTCTCTCCATAGCAATTTGGATTATCATTGTAATTGTGGTACTTGTTGTCCTCCTTATTATCGTGGTTGTTGTCTGCGGTTATAAAATTTTGAGCAAAAGTAAGGAACCAATACCAGTAACAACAAACAAACAAACGCGTATTTTCTACAATCATAAATACGATTCTGTCAAACAAAGTGGACAAAGATCAAAAGATGTCTATGCAGACCTTACCACGGAGTTATAGAAAAAAAACCCTCCTGCTATCAACCTTATCCCCCCTATTACAAGGACAATTTATTCATTGTTTTATAGATTATGAATTATCTTAATTTGGGGTGGGAAGGCATACAGTGTAAAACATGGGGTCAAGGAGTTTTAATGTAACTAGAGTTTTTATTGCAATATTTCGTTTTTGTAGTCTAATTTTTAAAGTCTAATGGTCCCAAGAAATCATTAAGATTATTTTTTATCCATTTCCTCTTAAATAAAAATTGTGTGGGACAAAGTATCGTGTATGTGTGTAGGAAAGTGATATATCTGCTCATGATGTATATATGTGTGATGTACATGCACATGTTGATGTACGTGCTAATGATGTATATGTGGTATACTATGACTACAAGTATGTGTTGGTGAGAAAATAGTACATTAACTCACGGAGTATGTGTCAATCTGTTTTATTTGCAGAATTTGGTATAATAAGGTGTATATGGTGTATGATGTGGTATATACAAGTGTGATGTATGTGATGTGGTGTATACCAGTGTGATGTATGTGACTACTAATGTGTACATTAAGTAGTATAGTTGTGCCTATGTTTTTTTAGCCATATTTGATATGGTGAAATGTTTTATGTATTCATCAAAATTAAATCGCAACAATATTGTTTTTTTTTCTCGTCTTGCTGACACTCCTTTAATCTCAAAACCTTTAAATTCATTCATTCATTCGTTCATTCATTTATTTGTTCATTCATTTCATAAATATTTAAACAAAGTTTTTGCACGGCCTGGAAGAGTGATGTAATACAAGAATTCTCTGAATATTAAAATTCAACTTTTCACGAATTGTGCCTGTATACAGGAACTTACATTACTTTGAGACAACACTGCATGTTGGAATCTTACATACATGTCATATAACTTTGATTCAACCATTTTTTGTTGTAACATTAAATTTTACATGGCTGATAGAATCAGTTGCATCATGGGTAATGTGATGAACATAATTAAGCTGAAAAGGAACTTTTATGGATCAGTTTATGTTTTGTGTGAATTGCCACATACTTTGTAAGTGTGTTTTCTGTGGGATATTTTATAGCATTGCTATGGTAACTACATACCCTCAACTTTATTTATCC